GAGAACACAGAGAGAGGGGGTGTTAAATGACAATGAGCTTTACGTGCAATTCATTCTGTTCTGTCTTTTGTCAGGTATGGGTTTGGAATACAAAGGAGAAGAGGAAAAAGAGAGAGGAAGGGGAAAAGGAATGAGGGGAGAGAGACAGAGAGAAAGAAACAGAATTTATAATCTCAATATATCGTTTTTTTTTTTTGTTCCAGTGGTACCTAGAGCATCTCTCCATTCCAGAGGAGAGACAGGCAGCCAAACCACCGAGACGGGATGAGGGTCACGTCTTGTTATTGCTCATAGGAAATGTCACATGTGCTACAACTTACCTGGTCTTCCAGCTCTTTTATTCCTCCCCAAACATCTAGTTAGGGATTTTTTCCCACTGAATTCTAGGCTCTGTTTGCAGCTGTGCTGTTTTCTCTGCTGCTTTGCAGGCTTCTCGAGCCATTAGAGGGATGGATTCAACACTAGCTCCCACACCCTGCTTCCATTTCTGCATGAGGCACCAGCTCCTGACCCATGCCACCCCGAGCACAACAGGAAACAAACATCCCCCATGGAGACGCAGGGCAGGGGCGGGGCAGGGGGTGGGGCAGCTGCGAAGGCTGATCACAGGCCCAGGACCGCGAGGACCACGCTCCCAGAAGTGGCCGCGGCTCACTCCGTCTCTCTGTAAACGCACCTGCTCCTCCACGGACAGCACCATGCACTCAATCACCCTCCCTTCCTCTCTGGTCCAGTGCACAGCACAGCTGGGGGTAGGCAGTTAGTCCCCACTTAGGCATCAATCTCCAGCCAAGACGCACAGAAACACATCTGCCTGATGAATATCCAACATGATGACTGTGCAAAGGTCCACTCAATGCACACAAAGATGGGTCAGTATTTTTGGAGCCTGGCATGTCCCAGACATCATGCCTCTCCTTCTGTCACTCAGAGAGCCACACTTGCACAGATAACAGCACGTTAGGCTCAGAACTCGTTCATGCATCTTTTTGTTCAGCAGGCATGGAGCACGGACTGGGTGGTCGCCACTGGGCTAGGCTGTCACCTTTGGTATTTCATTTACGGATAAAGGAAGGTCGCAGATAAGCATCCTTCCAGCCCAACAGCATCGCTAAAGTCCAACTCATTCAGTGTGATGGCCCCTGTTCACTCTGCAGGACCCCCCAGTGGGGAGACGTTCAGATGAGGAAACTGAGGTCCAGAGAGGACCTGACTCATGTCAATTTGAAATCTCACACAGGCCAGCGAGTGAGCCTCAGACAGGGCTTTGGCCCTTGATGTCAGTTCTACGACTTGGCAGCAAATTGTCCTTTAGTTATTTTAAATTAGTTTTTTAAAAGGACATTTTTACCATTCATTAAAGATTTGATAAATTTAAAATTTAAAAAAAAGTCACACATGGACTCATGACCTCAGTATAGCCGCCGTCACCCCTTGGGGGCAGTCTTAACGCCCTTTTCTCTAGGCTCCTATAAGGGAGAGTGTGTCTGTGCTGTGTGTGTTTCCTGGTAGGTGTTGTAATCATACTGAACAAATACAATGGTTAATATCATCACAAGATCTAGGCAGACTCTATATAAATATGATCATATGTATGTGAGTGTAAGTATATATTCATACGTACCTGTATATATACGTACATATATATGAGTATACTGTTAGTGATCATATTATGCGTATATGTATTCACAGATCACATCATTTTTGTCCCATTGGATACATTTTCTAAATGTCATTTGATGGCTGTCTACCTTTTTAGTAACAGCAGTTTCCATTCTCTTCTTGTGTGTTACAGAGAACAGGAGTTGTGTAACCAGTTGGATCTGGTTTGACTTGCAGCTTTGCCACATACTAGCTGGATAATTTTGGGTAAGTCCCTTGCCCTCTGAGCTTCAGTTTGCTCACTGGTAAGAGGCAGCGGTAATGCACTATCTTAGGGGGTTATAGGGAATTAGACAAACAGACGTAGAGCTCCTAGTTGCTCAACAAAAATGGTGGCCATTATTAGTTGGGAATCTAGGCTGTTTCACTGTTATAAATAACACCTGATGAACTTCCCATCGAGTGACAGATTTATATTTGGAATTAGTGAGCTGGACTCATTTTAGATAATCCCAGTTTTGTTGGCAACGTCCAGAGCATCAGACTCAGGGGCCAGTAGGGCAGACGCCTTTTTTCTCCATGAGGCCTGGTCAGGGTGTTGACCTCGGCCATGTCAGTGTCACAGAACTTCTTCCCAGCCTGTTGGATCTCGTGTTGGTTGACCTGGGTGTCCTTGTTTGATGGATGTTTTTGTTCTTCAAATGTCTCCCCTGCACTGTGGGTCACCTCTGGATGACCTTCACCCTCAGCTCTAAGGTTGGCTTGGCTCTGTCTGGTTCCTTAGCAGTCAGGAGGGCATCGTCCTTCCAGGAGTGCTGTCTTACCTCGACTGAAGGTACTTGATCCTGGAAAGCATGTCAAGATGTCCTGCGGAATACTGCTCAATCACATCCTTCACATCGTAAGGCCTCAAAGTCTCCTTGAATTTCTTTTTATAGAGACGGAATTGTAGAATTCTGCGAGGCAAAGTAGAGACATTTGCGCATCAGGAGTGGAGAGTGAAGGAAATTATGATACAAGATTAACAGTCTGGGGTGGGGGTTAGAAAAGAACCAGAGAGAAATGGCTTGATGAGAAGAAATTCCAGCTCCTGGTCCTGGTTCTTTGAATCCCACTGAATTAGGCTGGCTAGTGCCTCTCCTTCCAATCATTTCAACAGTAAGAAATTCACAGTAACAATGTGAATATAAACAATAACAATTTGTTGCATATGCCAGACACTGAGCTAAGTACGTTCTGAACAATTTGCTAATAGATCGATTCAGAGATGATGCAACTGTGGCAGAGAGAGTGTTAGCATTTCCCCAGGGCCGTCTAGCCAACAATGCCGGAGCTTTCCCCAAACCCAGGTTTGTATGCGGACAAGGCTCATGGTCCTAATCACCGTGTCATGCTGCTTTCTATTTGAGGCCAGCGGACAGTCTCCTTAATCCTTTGGCTTATGGGCTCCTGGAAGAGAAAAGTGAGCTTCTGTTCGCTGAGTTTTCTCAGGTTGTCAGTAAAGTCAGGCTCCCAGAACGTTTAGATGATGAACCCTCACCTCCGTTTTCCTGGAAACCAGTCTAAGTCATCCTTGAAAGCCCCATCACAGGGGCAACTCCTGCTGAGCACTGTGTCATTTAAAACCCCTCATCTCAGGCCAGTGATAGGAAAGACACCTACCCAGACCCTCCCATCTCATACTTGCAAACGTTTTTTTTATGGTGCATCCAAATCTTGTTTTGTCTCGATGTCACTGCTCATGGCTTTAGCTACTAAAAACTATTTTGGCATATCGATTGGACCATCCAGCTTGCTATCCTTTCCAATTCTGGGTCATTTTCTAAGCCTACCCTTTTTTGTAGCTCTGTCTAAGGTTGGCATTGGGAACAATGGCTTGCAGGTTGAATCTGGCCCACTGTCTGTTTTTGAAAGTAAAGTCAGGCTGGAACACAGCCACAGCCATTCAGTTATATACTGTCTACAGTGGCCTTTTTCACTACAGAATCAAAGGCAAATACAGCGGAGACCTGTGGATCATGAAGCCTGACATATTTACTGTCTGGCTCTTTCCAGAAAGTTTGCCAACCCCTGAACTAGGCATCAATGACAGTTCTAAAAAGGACAGGGAAGAAGCCAGGCCATGAAGCCTCCCAGCAGAGACCCCTGACACGGATTCATTCACTGGTGTTCTTTGAATAAGATCATTCAACCAGTTACGAATCTCGGTAGTTGGTTTTTAATCCAGCTATATTTTTAGCACGTTGTACAGGATGGTGTCATGAGGAAACAGGTCCACAGACAATAAACTACTGTGCTTCTCTGATCTGTTGGCCCGGGAATCTTCTGAAACTCTCATGGCTGGTTCTTTGAGACTCCGACTCAAATTCACAGCCACCATTGGGAGTGCTTCTAAGCCCGTATCCCGGTCAAAGCTTTCTTTAAGTAGTAGTCTATTTTTATTTTTCTGTGGAATTCTAAACAAAACAGAAATGGCCAGGGTGGATTATAGTCTTGCCTGAAACAGACACTCACACAAAAATCCTATAACTGATTATCTTGTTGAAAATGCTGATTAAAAAATACTAGATGGATGCAGACAGATGGAAGAAAAGCTCCTTTGAGTAAGAAGGCTAGAACAGAAGAAAGCTCCATGTCAGTCCACTCCCCTCCCCAACACCCTTTAAAATATATGGTGACCAGAGTCAGATGAGAAGGTGACAGCTGGAGCCTGTGGGAGCCTGACAGGAGTCGCCCAGGATGACTTGCCAATGCAAGAGATCATTTTTCTTAGATAGCAGCCCCCACAGGGTATTGACATATTCTCTGGACCTGACTCAGGGGTTACCTTCCCAAAGCCCAAGAGAACTTTACAAAGTCCTGTCCTGTGGAAGCTGAGCTGGGGCTGGGGACAGGGGTGGGGTCATGGGAGGAGGCAGCATTCATTACCTGACGGCTCGGATGGCGGCCTTCAGGGTGGGGATCATGTCTTCGATGAGGAAATCATTCCCGTAGCCCCTGTCTTCTGCTATGGGGTCACCCGTCCCGGCATCTGGGAGGGAGACACACATGTCAGTGGCAGGCCATAGCACTCAGAGAGGCTTGGGGACCTGGTTCAGACAGAGCCTTCTAAGTTCACCCCCCTGGAGTCTCCGTTCCCACTTCAGAAACCTCCAAGTGTTCTCCACTTGTGAAGTCATTTACACTTTCTCAGCATCCCTCCTCCGTTATCCTGAAGTCTGAATCAGAAGTGCCTGCAGCTGAGGACTGCTGGTTGGGGAGAAGGCTAGGATGGAGGTGACATGAACTCTGGGGTTCCCAGAGCCAGCAAAGGGCACACCCGTGGGTGTCTGTCAGACAGACCTGGGTTCAGATTCTCACTCTGTCTGTTGTTATCCTTGTGAGCTTGGGTGGGGGGGGTCACTTTCTGAACTCTGCTCAGCCTCCCTCTTCATAAGTGAAAGGGCACACAGACCCATCGCTCCTACAGCCCCCATGGGGTGCTTTTCTGATCCTCTTCCCACCCCATGTGGATGCTGAGGCCCCCAGGTATCCAGAATCACTCTGCACCTGGCCCCTCTCCATCCTTCAAGATGACCTCCATGGCAGTGCACTCATCATGGCCAACCTTAGGGCCCATGGTGGTAGGTCCCAAGGCTCCCTGGAGATCCTGGCCCAGGAGGACAGCTAACGTGGGCCCTCTGTCCGTGAGTGCAGAGATCTAGCACAGATGCCTCCAGCCTGGGGGACGAGGATGAAACCAGGCAAGAGGCTGGCTCAGGGAGGGTAGCAAGGGGCTACTCTGTAGACTAGAGGGTTCTTCTCCGGGGGAGGGAGGGAGGGAGAGGAGGGAGGAGGGGCAGGAAGAGGGCGTGGCGGGAGGAGCCGTGGAGAGACGGGGTGAGGAAGAGGAAGGCTTACCTTCAGAGCTCTGCCAGAAAGCATAGGCTTTCATGCGGAAGGCGGTGCGGAAACGCTCTTTATTGTTTGAGCCAACAGGCTTTGGTTCTTTAGAAGGACTTTCTTCTATGGCATCTACATTCAGAGGGGTAAATAGCTTTCCTTTAGTATTGCTACCACGAGGATTAGAAAGGCGAACCCGATCCAAGAGACCCAGCTTTTGGCTACAAAATAAGCAAAAGTGAACAATTTTCCTCCTTGAGTGCAGGCTTTCGTAACTCCCCGTCCCTCTCCATTAAGACGCGCACAGCCTCCTCCGCGCGTGAACGCGGCGCGCGCCGCCCGAGCGGCGGGCACGGGGCAGGGCTTGGCTCGGGCCCTCGCGCGCGCAGTCCCCGCCGCTTCGCCTCGGGCGTGTTTCTTAGCGTCTGAGTTGCAGTTGCCGCATCTGCGTAAGTGCGGCTTAAATGAGATCCAGCGTCTAAAACGCTTAGCTCGGAGCGGCATGCAGCAAGCTTCGCTCCTCCTTCATCCCTCTTTCCTCTGCCTCAGTGACCTCCTTTGTACCCCTCCGTGGTGCCCAGACAGCGACTCGCCGAGGCAAAGCCTTATCAGATGTTCCTTGAGCAGAACTGTATGACATAAATGACGTCAAGCAGGCACCCTAACCTGGTGTCCATAGACACTCCTCATGGACAGAACTTTGCGGGTGGGATGGGGCGGCCACGGGGTTGGATGGGAAAAACATTGCATTTTTCATTTACTAACTGAAATAAAGCATGTCTTTCGCTTATGAATGGAGGTGATATACACTGGTAATAGCCTGGATGCCCCAGCTGTATGCTGTGACTTTCCACAACAGATACCACAGGTCATCTTGTATCCTGTTATCTCCAAGCACTGCTGTGCTGGCCACTGCTTGAATAGTGGTATTCAACTGTCACTATGTCACACCATTAGATTCAGCACAAAGAAGCACATACATGACGGCATCTCAAATGTTTAAATAGCTGGATAATCACATTGTAACATAATCAGCTTCTTTTGTAATTATGTATTTCATTTATGGATTCAAAGTTGTGATTCTGAGAATAGGTCCCTGGACTTCATTGTAGTGACCACGGTCTTCTTAGCACAAAAAAACAGCTAGTAAGTCCAACAGAAAGTTTCCCTGGTGCAAAAACCATCTAGGTGACCTTGAGCCAATCTGTGACCTTCCCGAGCCTCAGTTGCCTCATCTTTCAGATAAGGATAAGCACTTCCCTCTTCACTTGGTTGCTATGAGATGATGTCCATCAAGGATGTGGCAGGGAGTCTGGCACATAGTAGGTGCTCTATAAATAGTCACTTTTTCCCTGTATTTCTTAGCCTCTGCGCCTCACCCTAGTGGGCACAGGAATGAAGTCCTTTTGTGCAGTGTAGACCGGAGGGAGCCCGAGGGCAGGTTTCACACATCAGTACCCTCAGCGCAGCAGTATCCTCTCCACCACCCACACAGGGCTTGGCACACAGCAGGTGTGCGTGGGCTTGCGGAAGAAAGGGGTGAATGAATGAATATGAATATAGGCTGTGAATTCAGCTTTGCACCAGCCTGAGTATTTCTAAAGTCCGTGCCTGGCTGCGACAGCCACGTGCTTCACGCCAGAAGCAGCTGACGTCCCTGTGGCTTGGTATGGAGAGGAGGTCCCGGCGTTGGGGCTGCAGAGGTGGGAACACGTCCCCTGCCGAGTAGGTGCCCTACGCTCTCTGAATACCAGGTCCTCATCCGTTAAGTGTGTCTAATGACACCTTGCTTGGGAGCGATTTGGGGAGCGTTACACACGATAATGTCTGTAGCGCTTCGTGCCTCCAGCCTGGCATAGAGAAGGCACAAGGAAATACTGGAAGAATGAATGAATGAACATACGGATGAGTAACTTACTCCTGACTCTTCCTAGACTCTTATCTTTCATCCAGCCCTGTTACATTAATAACCTGCCCAGGGTAAATTCAGGGAAACTCCAGGACTCAGATGGCTCCATCCTTCCTGAGCTGGTCAAAATTTTCGGAGTCGTTTTCCTGACTGGTACTAGGTGAATGACTAATGAGGATAAATCAGGGTCCACGGCTAAAAATACTGAACAAGGCAGGAAGTCAAATGATCACACACGGAAGGCTTTTCTAGCCATGAGCGAGGTGGAAGGACAGCCTTTTCTTAGGCCCTCTTCTTGGCCCCTGCCTACCTATCTCACTATACGGCTAAGCGGATCTATCATCCAACCATACCAAGCCCCTTGCCCATCCCCAAGTCCCCTCCTGCCTGCCTTGGTACACTCAGGTCCTCCAGCTTCTGATGCCCTTTCTTGCCTTAGCTGACCTCATTCCCATCAACTGCCCAAGTGTCCCCTCTTGGAAATTAGGTACGCCCCAGCTGCTCCAAAGGCACGCTGTGTTTTTCTATGTCACAGTGTTTTTAATACATGGTGTGAAGACTCTGCGTTACCACGCCCGCCCGCCTGCCCCACTGGATGGTGTGGTCCTGGCAAAGCAAGGACTCTGCCTGGTTATCTTTGAACCCACCCCACACCGCTGCTCAGCACACCCTGATGTTTAGAGCTTTGGGGCAAAACTGGCCTGGGGGAAAACATCCTGAGAAATACTGTGGACACAGGACACAGAACTCAGGCTGTTTGACCCTCAGCCTCCTCACGTATTCAGTGATGCCTCCCAGCCCCTGTGATACATGGTCGTGTAAGGGTTAAGTGAGGGGATGTGTGTGAAGTGCTTAGCCAACTGCCGGGGATGTGGGTGAGAGAAGCTTTCAATAAATGCTGGCTGTCATCATCATCTCGGTAAATAATCCCCTTCCCGAAGAAGCAGTGGAAGGCTAATGACACGTGTGAAAAGGATGGATAAGGTTTCCTGAGCCACAAAAAAAAGTGTTCTTATTTTTTTTTAGTGAACTGAGATGAGTTCTTGGGATTTATACATTATTTTACAGTACTTCTTAATGTTAGTCTCAAACACTCACCATTGTCACTGCACTTGACCTTGGTAGGAGATGAGTATCTGAGGAGCTTAATTCCAGATAAACTAAAGCAAGACAAATGTCATGGCAGCCACTCTGTCCTGACTTGAAATCTCAGCGTAACTGCTGACGACTCGATTATAAGAGAACTCTCTCGGTTCTCTGCTGGGACTTGGGATTCGCTTGCTTGGCATTTAAATGCTTCGTTGCAACCACTAACAGACTGAATTGCTTTGGCTGTGTTCACTTAATACCCCGTTGGTCACAGAGGACGGTTTATAAGAAATGGATTCCGACAGCATCAGGAATCCAGATGCTTTGGGCACAAGTCAGAAATCTCAGGTCTGAATCACAGCCATCGCAGCTAAGAAGCTTATGGAATTCTTCCTCCAGCAAAGCAGGTGATCAGCTTACCTCTTAATTGTGTTGCCTGAAATCCAAGCCCCCGAGGATAATCAAATGCAAGGCAAAGTTCACCCCTGAAACTCAAAACCCATCTCTGCCCTTCCCCAGATGGATTTCTAGTGCATCATTCAGGCCATGCCTTTGGAGGCTACGGCAGGTCTCCTGAGAAAAATCCTCCTTGAAGCTGACATCAGATTTCCTTGGAAAGCCAGGGTCCCTTGCTAAGTGTGGACAAACGATTTCCAAACATGAACTGGGAAAACTGGAAATGGATGGATGAGGGATGGAAAATGTAAAATCAAGGTTGATCTCTCCCAGCAGAGTCCTTGCTTCTGCCGCAGGTCTCTGCCCCAGGGAACGCTGGCAGTCCCCTGACACTCCCACTTCTCAGCTTTGGCAATGTGACCTGTACCTAGGAAACCGCCATCCTTTCTTTAATGCTAATGACTGACTTTTTATCTGAAACTCAGTCCAAGCATCAGTCCCAAGGTGCCCTTCCACTCTTGGTCCAATTAGACATCCCTTTACTGTGCTTTTTTTAAAAGGCTACTCACTTCGCCACCATAGTGAAATCTTGGACTTACAAAGGACTCTGTTTTAAGCAGTGGTTCTCAACCAGGAATGGCTTTGCCCCCAGTGGACATGTGATAATGTCTAGCATCATATTTGATTGGCATAACTTGGAGAGTGCTACTGGCTTGTCAAGGCCAGGGACGCAGCTGAGCTTCCCACAATGCACACAGGGCAGCCCCCACAGCAAAGGCTTATCCACCCAAAAGGTCAATAGAGCTGATATTGAGAAACTAAAAGGGGTACGCTGTTTGTTCAGAAGCTGTACTTTGTCCAGTTATCCAGCATCTAATGCAGTGCCTGGCACACAATAAGCACTGAAAATACTGTTATGATGTTGAAGAAAGAAAGAAGGAAGGAATGGCAATATTTGATCTTCCGATTATAAAATGCACCCAACCTCAGCTGAGAGAGGAAGTGCTGGAGAGTGGAAAGAGTGTTGACTTTGCAAGAAGAGAACTGGGTTCAAATCTGTTCTGCAGGTAATATTTCAACTTGGGTAAAGCATTAGCTCTTTCTGATTGTTTTTTTATTTTTTTTCCATCAGCAAAATAGAGCTCATGTTATTTATTGATTCAACAAAAACGTATTCTACAGCTTAAAAATGCTAGGCTCTTGGTAACTTGCTGAGTATACAGTGGTGGCCAAAGCAGACATGGTTTTTAGCCTCCAGTGAGTTTATAAGGCTAAGAAATCACATGATAGTCCCATAGATATATATGTTGCTAGACATCTGACCAGGAAACAAAGACAGTGCAGTGATGGAGAACAACAGGAGGTGGCCTTAGGTAGGGTGGTGAGGGAAGGCCCCGTGGGTGGGTAGACCAATTAGGGAGCCAATTTCAATGGTCCAGTTTCAAAATGCTGGTGCTCCGGATGGTGACGCTGAGACCTGAATGGTGAGAAGAAGCCAGACTTCAAAGAAAGGGATTGAGAGCTCTCTAGGCAGAAGATTTGCACGTGGGGGCCAAAGTGTGAGGGCCGGTTTATGCCACTGAAGAGAGGACACGTGACCCAAAGACGGAAATGAGGGGCCAAGTGTGAGATGAGATCAGAGCTTAGATCATTCAGGGATTTTAGGAATACAATTCAAACATAAAAACGGAAAATAGGGATTTCTATTTTATTCTAAGTGCATCATGAGTTTAAAAGGAGTGCACACGTTCACAGAAGCACTTCTCACAACAGCCAGAAAGCGGAAACCACCCAAGTGTCCATCGATGGATGAACCAATAGACAAAA